GTTGTTAGTTTGATTGATGTATCGATGTTTTGTTTGGATGACGATTACTTGAAACTTAAGAAAGGCTCCTCGGGCCCAAGTAATTGGAAGAGTGAATCTAAGACTCGACTCTCTCTCTTTTTCAACCTTAATTGTGAAAGAGTTTTGATAGTTAGAGTAAATTAAACGGATGACAATTACTCAAAGCTTAAGAAATACTCCTCGGGCCCAAGTAATCGGGAGAGTGAATCAAAGACTTGATTCTCTCTCTTTTTCAACCTTAATTGTGAAATAGTATCGATAGTTGTTATGTGTTTTGAAGATTGATTGAGAAAATCCACTTGATGTTGGATCAAGAGTTTTTTTGCATGCGAAGAGGTTGATTGCAAGGAAAAAGGCACTCAACTTAAAAGTTTGTTTTAAAATGGCTCGATGATGGATCGAGGCTTTGTGAAACGAGGTGAGAATTGATCATAGTCCCTAAGGGTGCTCCTAGTAATGAAACCACGACGAAAGGTGCGAGTGTGTGCATTAGGTTGATGGCGATTCTTACGAGTAATCGACTTACAAGAGTGTTTTGAAAATGGCTCGACGACGAATCGAGAATTAGTTTGAAAATAGTTTAGTATATGCTAGGCCCTAGCAGTAAACAAAACCACAATCAAAGCAAAGCGAGTAAAATGTGAACATCAGAATGGGAGCAGGGTACATGTAAGTTACATGGGATTGCACGAAATAAATTAGGTCGTTGTCAGGTAGCCCAAGAGGAAGTTGTGTGTGTGCAAGGTGTCATAAACTAAGCCACGAACAAGAGTCGGACAAAATCTCCTTTGCTAGGGTTTTTGTACAAAGTTCATACTTCGTGTCTCAGAATAGTAACCAACAGTCCACCAATTGAATCTTTTATGGTTTCGATAGTTTTATAATATTTTTTGTGTTTTCGAATAATATGGACAAGAAAAGTGTTAGATGAACAAGATATGAATAACATGACATGAACAGTATGATAATATGAGCAATAATAATACGAACAAGATATATTGATAGAAAAGTAAAGCAAGATAATATTGAACAAAAATTAAAGTTAGTGGTTAATTGTTAATTGCTTGGATGAATCGGGTCCACTATAGCCCTAAACAATCATAACACGGTCTATGACGAAGGTCATGCTATAGGAGGTCGCGCAATACAATGTTTGTGCTAAAACATGATAGAGAAATGATATGTAGATCATTCTCAAAGAAATCTTGCCACATGAAAAGAAAAAGAGAACGGTCTCGTCTTAATCACAAACTGTTATTGATTAATCGAAGGTAACCTATCACAATCCCAAAGTATAGAAAATGATCCAAAGGATCAATTCCTACAGATTTGAAATAATGAAGGTTCAACAACCACAACAACCAATATCCACGATATAAAAGACTTCATCGACCAAAAATTGAATTGAAAAGAAAATCAAAGTGAAACGAAATATAGAAAAGAAAATAAATCAAGAAATAAATCAAAACAAAATGATAACCAAAATATACTTAAAAATTTGAGAAAATAACATAATTTTTAAAAAAAAAAAGAATGAAGGAGAGGTGCATGGAGGGTGGAAATATGGTGTGAGAATCATATAGGTTTAAAAGCCCATAATCTCCTTTCAAAAAAACACACGAATGAAAAATAATAAAAGGGTGACATGAATTTGGCATCAAAATGGGCTTTAAGCCCATCAACCCAAAGTAACAACACGTTTTTGAAAAGAGACAACAACAGTAATCCAAGATTTGTTCTATTATCCATCTTAAGAATAGAAAATAAAACTTGAGAAACATGACACAGTTAGATTTTTTTTAAAGAAAGGGTGGTGCGCTGAGTCATGGTGTATGTATGAGAAAATGAAATAAATGGGCTTCTCTAAGTCCAATCATAACACCACGACTTACAAAGAAACAGTAACATCCAAAGAAAACAATTTAAGGCAATGATATAAGCTTCATCATGTTAAAATGAAAACACAGCTTTAAGCAAAAATAACATCACCAATATCAGGCACCGACGACCATGAAAATGACAATATTTTGCTCAGAGCGAAGATAAAAGGTTGGCAGCTTTGTTGTGGCAAGTTAGTGTGCTGAACGAATTTTTGAAGAATGTGATGCGTGAGAGGTTAAGGCTTGGCTGAAGAATGTTGTTGGCTTTGTTGATTTCATGTCGTGGTTTTGTGGTGGCAGTGACTTGGAAAAGCTATTTCATTTGGCTCAAACATTGTGGCTTCAAGTGGTATTGTTTGGGAGTTTATTATGGTTCATGACTTTGTGGTTTTTTTTAATGATTTTTGGCTGGTAGTGCTGGGTATTGAATCATGATTTTTTTTATTTTGGTTGTGTTGTATATTGTACATGGCATGGGCTTTCTTTTTTGTATAATTTGGACTTGTAACAATTTTTTTATGACAATGGTAATGCAAATGGTTTTGTTTCTTTGTTGCATATTTTGTAGAATGGGCTTTGTAAAAAAAGTAATGGTCTTGAAATCATATTTTTGTCCTCTCTTGCAATTTGACTTTACTTGTAATGAACTTGGACTTAACTATATGTACCTTTCATGTTAGCTCTTGAGCTTCATGCTTGAGAATTCAATTTTTTAAAATTTGAATAATCACGCTTGAATCGATTCCAAAGGAAGAAAATTTCCAAATCTTGAATTGAATCCACTAATTTCCAACAATCTTTGAATTAATCCTGAGAAAACGAATATGAAACAATCTGACCTGATAAACCAAAATTTTCAACATAAACCAAATGATCAATCATCCATATGCTTTGAAATCGGGAGATAGTGACTTGTGATATGAACCTCAGTGCACTGCCCAAAACCCTAATTGGAAATGAAATGGTCTTTGATGATCCTCAATCATGAATTACTTGACCTTAGCATAGCCTGATGCCTTGATCATGAAACAAACTCTTGCTTGACCAATATTAGGTCAGACCCAGCCGAACTTAAACCATTACTGCCACACACTTGTCTTACTATCCTCAAATGAACCTCAATTAAAATCAAATCAACCTTGTGATACTTTACGTTTGGACAACAAGCAGAAGTAACATATTTTTAAGATTTTTTGAATGATGGTTAGTGGATGGAAATAAAGATAATGTATAGGTAGGACAAATTTGGGGTATGACAGGTGCTAGATGGGAGGTATGACAAATTTGGCTTCAGGAGATATACGATCGACTTGTAGCTGATGGGAGGTATGAAGCTGCCGCTAGGGCGTACATGCCACATATAGTAGCATGTACGCTCTTTGCGGACATGTTTGGTACTTATGTTGACGCTCGGCACTTGTGCCTCTTCAGTAGCCTCAAGCACACCAGCTGGGCTTGGGGGTGTGCATCTTGACCCAGTTGTATACAGTCCTTGGAGTGGCGACGGTCTTTGAGACCAGGCAGCTTGCTGGCTATTTGAGTCTGTTACAAGTATACTTGAAAGTATTGTATGTTGTTGCTTTCATATTTATTCTTTAGGAATATCATTTCTACATTATTATTTATTGTGTCTCTGTTCTGGTTTTAGTGTTTCATATACGAGCATTTCCCTACCATCTGTGACAGAAGAGTGCAGCATTGCGAGGTAGGGGCCCATGGGCGAAGTGGTGGAAGGGGAGATAGGCACATCCTGGTGGTGTTTCTGAGTATAGGAGGAGGCTCGACGCTCTTACTATAAATGATGTCATCTGGACACCATACACTGGTCATAGAGTCCACCGGGATTTTGGAGAGTCGTTGTTATATTCGGATTATATGCGGTGGAAGACCATGGTTGCTAGACACTTTCCTGAGAGGTGTCTGCGACAATATGGTTATGTTCAAGGTATCCCACAACCATTCCCAAATATTTCAGCTTCAGGGATTTACTGGTGGTTCAGAGTAACTTCCTCAGTTCCGGTCGTGCCATTAGAGATCTAGCGGTCACTGTTCAGCATCTCTCGCAGTGTGAGGAAGGTTACTCGGAGTGATACCTCACTATATCACACCCTCACATCACCCCACCCCCAGCTGATGATAGGCCTTCTGATGATCGGGTACCGGTTGATGATGCGTCGTCGCCGCCTACTCCAGTAGATCACGCTGATGACCAGCAACCCCTCAAGATGATTGCAGATTATGGATAACCTCATGTGTTTGGTAAACCCAGATGGTGAGGTATATACTAGATTAGCTCGGGCTGCACACATAGTTCGTGGGAGAAAAAATTCATTCAACTTCGACGTCAAGCCGACAAAAGAGGTAGTGCCATCGGGAAGCTTGAACTTTACAAGAGAAAAAGTTTTGTTGAAGTACACTTCTGCCTTAATAAAAAATGGGGGGAGATATATTTTTTGAGATGTGTTTATCAACAACATGTGATCCATATTTATACAAGTTTGAATTTATTCTGGACCTCACAAATTGTCAGTGCAATCACAGCCGCACAAATTGTTGACAAAATCCCGATCATCAAAAAAACCTAAAGATACAACTATCAGAAATTTCACTTAAGGTGAAATTCTGGAATATTTTGCATTATATCAGAAATTTTAAAATTTTCGATGCACCAAAAATTTCAAATGAACTATCGAAAATTTCAAACTGTACTAAAATTTTTAAAATGGTTACCGAAAATTTTCATAGAGAAATTTGATATAGTTTTTATCCAAAGACAATTTTAATATTATGAAATATTAGGGAGTGCCAGATTTAATTCAGGGGCGCGGTAGGTTAAATTCTCAAATATTTGATTAGCCATATATTTTATGTCAAAATTGTCCAAATATAATTTCTCATTACATATACTGTAAAATCATCATAAAACTGTTCACATAACAAACTGTTTTTATTCTTATCATATATTTTCACATATGCAAGCCAAATGATACACACACATACATACCACAATGTTTTTTTATTTTTAATACAATTTCATTCTTCAAGCATACCTTGATATATTACACAAACACATAAAACTAACTCAACTCTGTTCACCTTTTACTTCTGCATGTCAACAAACTTGGAGCAATCAATTCCCTTACCAGAAAACGCTTCTACAAGCTTAGGAAAAAGCTTAGCAAGCATAATCTTAAATCCTGCAGAAGTTCCCTTCTGGTTTTCATGCTCACTCTTTTCACCTCCAATAGAACCTCCTTCAAGATAAGCCTTACAAGCAACGAGTATATGTTCCGCGCGTTGTCGAAAGTGATCTTCCACCAATGCCTCGAAATGCTGCAATCGTAATCAGTTTCGTTGCAATTCAGTCCACTTAACTATGTGTTTCAAACTTGTTTCACATGAAGATTGAGAAAATGAGAGGATAGTTATTTTACCTTCGGCGGGTTTCTTAAAAGGTACAGCATGGATTTGGAGGTGAGGAGGAAAGCATTTTCGTTGTAACTCACTGAGTTTTTCTCTCCTTCGGCTCTGCCGATTTGTTGGTCGTATCCTGCCTCGTTGAAATACGGCTTCTCGTTAAGGACAAGAGCTTGCAGAGAGAGAAGGACTTGAAGAACCGTGGAAGATTCAGGGTTCCACACTTCGGCTGCTGTACCGCTCCATGTGTTTAGGAGACTCAAACACACTTTCCCTGACTCATACAGATTCGGATTTATTCGTAACCCGCCAGAAATGTAGTGCACCATCTACAAGAGATTTTAAAGGCCGCAACGATAGGATCATATAAATTGTCGCGCAAAGTGAAAACAAAAGAAAAACTTCATTCAAAAACTTACCGGTGGTTCACTAGGATACTCAGGAGGGAAAGATACATCGAAGAAGAATAAGCCGTCGTGATAAGGTGTCCCTGACGCACCAACGATGGCTGCTCGCATGAGATCCATTCTTTCTTCGAAAACACGGACATAAATAGTTTCTGTTTAGGCATGTAAAGATTGTATGTCAATTCGCAGAACTACGATGGATGTTAACAACATAGTCCAAGAGATTTAACTATTAAATCAAGCAAAAAGAAAGTATGCACCAGGAAGATTTTTCTCCAGGATGCTCCATTCTTGCTGCACCTTTTTCGCCCAATCTTTCTTAACCTACAAAAGATTCAACCGAGACGAAAAAAATAAGGAAAAATGCTTTCAATATAATTATATGTCGCTTAAGTAATGTGTCAATCTCGTAACCTGAGATAATGGTGACCCTTTTCCCTCGTTGAAAAAGTGGTGGTCTGAGCAAGTATCGATTACGTCGAACTGTTTCAACTGATCTGAAGTAACATTGCCCGTCTCATGAATCTTTAAAACTTCACAATATGGAGTCGAGTCTTCAGTAGACTCCAACAAGCTCACAGGATGTGAATCAGTCTCAGGGCTACAAGCTTCCAAATCTTTCTTGCCGAGAAAATCTGGCGCATTTTCCTCTTCAAATGTAGGAACTGTGGAAACAGCTCCGTAAAATGATGTCAAGCCAAGTTTTTGAAATACGCCGGCTTTAATGCTGGAGAAAAGTTCAAAGGCAGCTTGAGGGAGAGAAAAGGAACTACTCTCTCCCGAATGTTTATCACATTTATCTTTATCACCGTTACGATCTAACAAGCCCTGATCGCGAATAAATTATATTACAACACAAGCATAGTCATTATACATATATAGATGCTAATAAATACGAGATGATTCCCGAATGAAATATTTATCTTACCTTTCCCTTTTGGTCAGAAGATAGACTTCCATGATCAATAATCTCTTGAGTCAACTCGACAACATTTGTTTCATAAGAAACAGGAGTTGCAGTTGAACCTTCGTGCTTATCAATCCGAAAAATTTCATATGGTGCAACCTGTTTGTGTATAAAAAAGTTATAATGACTTATCGAATACGAAGGAATACAGAATAATAAATGTTGCGGATATACCTTTGTCGTTAAACCAGTAGCCCATTTCACCTCGACATAGCCATCTTTGAAGCCAGAAATATTGCCGATACAGGACAGGTGACAGTTATCGTTGGACTTATTCTGGTAGTTGATTTGGTCTAGTTTTATCAGAGAAACTTCCACATTCAAGTCACTCATTAAATTTGCGTTGTTTTTCTCAGCTCGGTAACCAACCTGCTTTTGAGCGGTCTTGAACACAATATCACCAAAACAACCGGAAAAGTCCGGGTGTTCGACAAGTTCGTATGCACTCAAAGTTTCCAATGTTGGTTCTCCAGCCAAATCATCTGGCTTGGATGTCGGAACTGTTCTCCATTGCACGTTTACGGTATGCTCTTTTGCATCGACCGATAGAACAACGCCCCATCTTTGATTGCTATGCTTGTCATCATCATCAGAAGTACCTTTTTCCATCACAAACTGATGAGGCCAAAACTCATGAGTGTTTACGACATTCACAGGGATTAAGTTCTGGGAATCCGACCCCAAAGTAACTTCGCCGTTTTGCCAAATAATATCGACTTTGGTCTTTATCTTACCAATAATAAACAATTCTTCCAGGCTAGAGTTAACGTTTCTTCTCCTATATTCTCTAGCCATACTATGCTTATTTGGAAGATAACCATCAGGCGAATCTCGAATCATCTTTTCGATTTGTTCCTGTTGGTCTGCAGCTGGAAGCATGCACCAGTCACCGAGTTGCCAGTTTGCGTGCGAAAAACATGACAGCATGGTCAAGTTTTTGGAATCTTGCCAGCACGCAGGAGCATTCACATTCGAATTAGAACCCAGAAGAATCGACGTAGCCCAATTAACATACACCAAACCTGCTTCCACAGAACAAACAGTTCCTTCATCATGGTTGTCTCTCCAATTATCACATAGCCATCTGGCCGATTTAGAACCGGTCGAGGACTTAACTTTCACTCTCTGCCCTGGATAGTACGGATACTGCGAATCTTCAAGAAAATTAGGAGTTTGCGGTAAAATCTTATCTTTTTCCAAGGTAGTGATATCGTATTTCGTCCCATCGTCAAACAACACAGTTAGTCTGTCCACTACCCTTTGAACCTGACCGAGCCACGGCCCTTTAATCACGTAATCACCTTCCGAAATGGAACGAATCTTCAGAAGTTTCTTGGAGTTCACGTTTTTTAATATGTTTCCTCGAACGTTTTCCAAATCCACTGTCACGTCAACACCAACGACCCTCCCCATCTGTCCAGACGTGTCTGACAAGGAACGGACGACATCTCCATAACCAAATGTCCTCTCAAACGAGAGAAAATCATCGATCTTCCCGATGCTTTCCTCTAAACTAGACAATATGCTCTGAGCTTGGCCACCATATAGATAATCAATATCCTCTTGATCGTCACTGCCACTGCTGTCGCTCGAAGTCTCCCAGTCCGAATCAGTCATTTGAGCTTCCATCAACTATATGTCTGTCATAATGTGTTTCACAATAATAAAATGCGTTACAAGAAAATAACTTCCTCAACACAATAAAAGGATAATAGGGATTCATGAAGATCCTTACCTTTTCAAGCAAATAGAAGCATTAAACACCGACGTCGGTTTGTATTGCAATCCACAACAGATGAGTCAATATTGACTTAAGAGGCTATTACAAAACAAGACGCGTCTGATCGATACCGATACTTGTTACAGATACTAAACCAGTTTCTTTTGATCACAGAAACCGGAACTTTAATGCCAAAGAAGATTTGCCCGACGGGGATAATTGAAGTCTATTACGACTCCGAAATGCCAAAGGAGATTTGCCCAGTTTACACTGGAAAATTCACAGAAAGAAAGTGTTGCAAAACTAGTAAGAAACAAGATAAAGAAAAGTAAGTAATTTTTGCCAAAGGAGATTTGCCCGACACCGAAGAATCTTCAAACACAAGTAATTTCCAGATAGTAGCTAATAAATTTGCCTCTTCCGAGATCGAGAGACTCGGAAGCTATATTGCCAAAGGAGATTTGCCCCGCGGTGAAGCCAAACTCTCTACCAGATCTATCTGATATTAAAGAGAATTGATTGATATCCAAAATCAACAAAATTTCGTAGTCGAAATCAAGAATATCATCAGAAAAAACCAATCAAACATAAACCTTTTGTTCCTCAATTCACAGCAAAAAGAAAGAAGTTATGAGATGACTTGTCTTACAATAATTGCCACTACCAAAAGTCAAAACCAGATAATTTCTTTTGAACCTGCAACAAGAAGAACACTAGTGAGTAGTTTTCTCTAATCATTTTCAATAAGAAAACAACAAAACTAGAAGATAGACATAAAATAAAAGAACAAAATCCAAAGGAATCACTACTTTATGATCAAACAAAACTATAAAATCATTTCTAAAAAAGTCACAAGTAATAATCACTTTATTAAGATTCCTATGCGTTTAAAGTCAATATAGCCGCTGCTAGCACTCAACATAAAAGCATATATTCAATAGAAAACAACAGCATAGTAATAGAATGAGTTAAAACAGAAACCTATGATCTATTAAAAATGAAAGTGCAGAGGAAGAGATTGTGATTGTATACCATTTGGACCACCAAGAAGGTTGGTTGGTCCCATAGAAGTTACTATTAGAGTTTATAGAGCCAAGCTAGAAAACCAAGAAACACCATGATTTTAAACACCAAAAAAGGAACATAACATAACAAGATGAAAGAAAGGTGGTTCAAAGATTTGATTTTTGTAGAGCTTTAGAAAGTGGGTGGTGGTGGAAATTCAGATTGGTCTAGTTCCACGGCCAGTTCCACCGTCGTCAACGCCACCACTGAACTTGGGAACCATTTCAGAGATAGTTTTTTTGTTTGTGTGTGTGAGAGAGAAAATGGAGTACAGAGAAATGGGAAAGGTATGGGTGGTGTTGTATAATAAAGAAGAAGAATGAGAAAAGAACAAAAGCAGAACACAGTATGAGACACAGATGGTGTTGTCTTAGATAAAGACAGTTAAACTATATTTATGTTTCTGTGTTTTAATTTTGTTTTTTCATCCAATTTAAAGAAAATGAAAAAAAAAAAATTATATCTTATGGTTATGGTATTTGATTCCACCTCATTGGATCAATATAAAAGAAAAATTAGTTGTGTTTGATTGGAATTTGAGTTAGAACTAAAAATAGATATATTTAGTTTTGTGATAATGGGGACAGAGAATAACTTTTACTTAAATGGACTTTACTTGTCATATTTTCATTGATTCTTAGTTTTTCAATTTCAATGTTTTATTCACTACTCTTTTAAAAATTGAGATAGAAATTATTTTTATGTTTATATATTCAAACTTCTCACACTACCAAATTCATCTATTTATAAGTATAAGTATACATGTATGTATGACTATCTTAGTTAGTTAAGTCTCGAGTTAAGAATAAACTAAAATATGAGAAAGAAAAATATAAAAAATTCTATTAGAATTTATGAAAAAAAAGAGAAGAAGGAAGAAGAAAAATTAGGATTGATTAAAACTATTTTACTATTTATTTACTTAATAAGGGTTCAAAGATTACAAGTGAATAACAACAATTAACCTCTCTCTCTCTCTCTCTCTCTCTTTCTCTCTCTCTCTCTCTCTCTCTCTCTCTCTCTCACACACACACACACACACACACACACACACACACACACACACACACACACACACACACACACAACAACCTGAAAGAAACAGTCTATTTATAGACTACTAAGTTGACTTAAGCAACAAACTAACTTAAACAATTAGGCTAAACAAGCAGAGTCAATTCGACATGCTAACAATACTAGCATTTTGACTACAACATGTTTAAGCATACTTCGACTATACCATGCAGGATCAACATGTTAACAGACTTCGACTACATGTTAAACCTTTGTCGAACTATGAAGTTATCCCTGGTGGGACTAGAGTTCGATCCAAATACCACAAATCTCCACCTTGGAACAAACTATACACTAAAAAGGGAGCAAACTAGCTTTCATCATGCATGTTTATCAATTGCATACAGTTGAAAAACTTGCTACTTGGCAATGTCTTGGTGATCATATCAACAACATTGTCATCAGTCGAAACCTTTAGCATTTGGACTTTTCCAACTAGATTATCTCTCTAACGAAGTGCTTGGTTCGCTCATGATAGGCTGAATTTTTCGGCAGGTGTGTTGCATTTTGACTATCACATTTAATAGTGATAACTCGATCTTGAAGTTGCATCTCCTTAGCAAAACCTTCAAGCCACAATGCTTCTTTCACAACTTCAGTAAGGGAAATATATTCTGCTTCAGTGATTGATAAGGCAACAACCTTTTGAAGTGTTTCTTTCCAACTGATTGTCGTGGCAAACATAGTGAACACATATCTAGAAATAGATTTTTTGGAATCCAAACAACCTGCATAATCAGAGTCCACAAATCCTTCGATTTCAACTTTGTTATCATCATCACAGGCTCCACCATAAATCAGGACTCTGCTCAGAGACCCATTGATGTACCTTAGAATCCACTTTAATGCTTGCTAGTGCGCATTCCCAAGATTGGCCATATACCTGCTTACAAGGCTCACTATGTACGATATGTCTGGCCTCGTATAGATCATAGCATACATCAAAGAACCTACTATACTGGCATGTGAAATATTATTCATATAGGTTTTTTTGACTTCGGTACTAAGACTTTGAGTCGTGCTCAACTTGTACCGAGGATTAGTCAATGTTAGAATAAGCTTTGAATTAAACATACCAAATTTATCGAGAAACTTATTCAGGTATGTCTCTTGAGATAGCATAATATCGACTACTTTCTATCTCTCTAGATGTTAATCCCAAGAATTTTAGAGGCAGCTCCGAAATCTTTCATGTTGAACTCCTTATCGAGTTCAACCTTCACCTTCATTACATCCTCAATAATGCTGTTTGCTATGAGTATGTCATCCACATAAAGCAACAAAATAACAAGTAAATTTCCAGTTCGAAATTTGAAGTAAACATAGTGGTCGAACTGGCTCCTAGTGAAACCTATGTGTGTCATGAACTTGTCAAATCTCCTATTCCATTATCGAGGAGATTGTTTCAGGATATATAACAACATATTCAACTTGCAAACACAATCTTCCTTTTCCTTTTCTGCATACCCTTCAGGTTGCCTCATCAAGATTGATTCATCTAGATCACCATATAGGAAGGTTGTCTTCACATCCACGTATTCAAGTTCTAGGTCAAACTTTGACACCATGGCTAACAACATTCTAATGGATCTGTGTTTTACAACAGGTGAGAACACATCATTGAAGTAGACATTTTCTTTTTGAGTGAACCCTCTAGCTACAAACCTTGCCTTAAATCGTTTCAACATCATTCATTTGATTCTTTCCTTAACCTTAAATATCCACTTATAGCTGACTAACCTGACCCTTGGAGGCTTCTCGATCAGTTCCCAAGTGTTATTATCATGAAAATATTTCATCTCATCATCCATGTCTTTCATCCATTTAGTCTTGTTTCGACTCCTCACAATTTCCTTGTAATCTCTAGATTATTCATCAAGAACCTCACATGCAAAAATTAAGGCAAAAGCCATGAGATATACATAACCAAGTCTTTGAGGCGGCCTGGTGACTCTTCTCAACCTATCTCTTGCTAGCAGGTAATCATTATCAGCTTTTACATCTTCATCAACAACTTGTGCTTGCTCTTCGACTTTATATGGGTTATGCAATTCAACATCACTATGCCAGTAGGTAATCATTATCATTCTCTGCATCTTCATCAGCAACTTGTGTTTGCTCTTCGACTTCAACTGGGTTATGCAATTCAGCATCACTATGCTCCACCTCAACAGGAATCTCTTCCAGTTCCAGCTCTTCTCTAGAGATCTTGGTACTTTGACCAACGTCATCAGTTTTATTGAACATCATTTTAGCTTCATTGAAGACTGCATCTCGACTTATGATACACATCGTTTTACTTGGCTCTTGGCACCACAGCCTATAAGCTTTGACTCCTTCAGGGTATCCAAGGAACATACATCTTAGAGCTATAGGTTTGACATTGTCTTTCCTAATGTGAGCATAGGCTAAGCAGCCAAATACTCCAAGTCTCTCGATATTAGGTGGATGTATCGACCAAACTTCTTCAGGTGTCTTCATTCCCAAGGCAGTCGAGGGACACCTAATTATCAGGTATGCTGCAGTCGCAGTAGCTTCTGCCTAAAACAACTTCCTTAATTTCGCACTAACCACCATTTTGTTGGGGAGTACATGCAGTAGTTATGTGCCTTGCAATACTAGACACAATACAATAGTTGTCTAAAGTCTCATAGAAAAATTCAAAACCATTGTCGGTCACCAACCTTTTAACCATCCTGCCAGTTTATTTTTTTTACCAGAGTCTTCCAACTTTTGAAATTCTCAAAAATTTAATCCTTAGTCTTCTGGA